ATACCTTTTCCAGGATGGACTCAAACTTATTATTTTCTTCTCCTTCTCTCTCTCTCTCTCTCTCTCTCTCCCTCCCTCCCTCCCTCCCTCTCTCTTTTTTTGTGGTACTGGCAATTGTACCCAATGATACTCTCCACTGAGGCTTATTCCAGTCCTTTTTAAATTTTTTTATTTACCAGGCTGGTCTCAAACTTGGATTCTCCTGCCTCAGCCTCCTGAGTATCTGGGATTACAGGCATGTGTCACTGCACCTGTCATTACCTTCCTTCTGAGTAAGTGATATTGTAGGCATGTCTACCATGCCTGGTTAGCTTGTGGTCTCCTCCTCTCTGTTTCTGTGTGTGTGTGTGTGTGTGTGTGTGTGTGTGTGTGTGTGTATTCTCTCTCCCTCCCTGACTCCCTCCCTCTGTCTTGCTCTCTCTTCTTTGCAGCAGTGCTGGGGATCAAACCCAGTGTCTCACACATGCTAAGTAAGTGCTCTACCTCTGAGCTATACCTCCAGCCATATATATTTTTATTTTTGATGGCACCCACTCCTGTCTGAAATCATCTTACAGACTACTTCCTTCATTCAGTGACTATTAACATAGTTCCTGTTGGGTGAAGGCACTGGTCTAGGCACTAGGCACACAGCAACCAACAGAACAGGCAGTCCTTGCTCTCATGGGGCTTCTGGTCTTGCTTCCTTGATACCATTTGACCCACAAAGGAACAGAAGCTTCAAAGGGAGTAGGGATCTTGTTTGTGTCCCTGTGGCATCATGTGGTACTTCCTGGGAGTGACTTATTCCCAGTGCATGCTCCCCCCCCCACCCCCCACCTCCCCAAAAAGAAAAGCAAAACACAGAAATCCCCAACTTCTTCCATAGGAGCTCTTTATGATAGCTTTCTTTTCCTTCCTTCCTTCCTTCCTTCCTTCCTTCCTTCCTTCCTTCCTTCCTTCCTTCCTTCCTTCCTATAACCCAGGGCAGCTATGAATGAGACTATTGGAAGCACATCCTTGGAGGTCACCCCTGAAGAAGAGTAGTCAGGCTGGGTGGAGAAGTGGAGGGTAGTTTAGGTGGAGAAGGGACATGATGTGACACTGAGCAAGTATGTAGACCTGGGGGAGTGTGACATCTCAGAGAGAGAGTTCAGATCAGAGAGCTGGAGTAGAGTCCATCAGCCATAAATCCATGCAACAGATGGAGAGTAGAAGGGACCTCAGAAGGTAAGAGGGAGTTGCTAGGTAAAGGAGAGGTATCCCGTTTAGCTAATAGAGGTGTGACCTGGAAAAGGGATGAGGTGAGACCCCTTCTAGAGAAAGTTGTCAGTCAGCTGTCCTGGAAAGAGGAAACCTATGCTGGGTAGATCTCTCATCTTTATCCCACAAAAATATGACACTACTTGACCATCTAAAACTTTCTCTAAAGGAGGAAAGACTTAGAGGAGTAGATCCAGGAAGTCGGTGTCTCCTCTTCCTCCACTTCTCCCAGCAGGTCCTCATCTCCAGGAAGCCTTTAAGGCAACTTCTCTGCCCTACTGACCTGCTTCTGAGTTTACCCTTAGCACCCAGCACAGAGTGAGCATCCAGAATGAGGGCTGAGAGTGAGTGGATGTGGAGGGGGGAGGGACAGCACTGAGCTGATAGGTATTGTGACTGATGGGTGACATTGCTGCCTGACTCCAGACCTTTTGGCTGTACCCCTCATACCTATTATTACCCTGCCCTGATAACCTCCCACACAACTAGCTGCTCCTTCTTGTTCTACCCTTGTAGTGAGAGGTCCCCAACATCTGCTCAGCCGCGCAGAGGCTGGGAGAGTCAGGTGGGACATGCTTTGACCCAGAAGGGAAGCTCTTTAGAGACTTGAGCCTCCCCTCCCTGCCTTCCCCTTCCCTTCAGGCATTTAGCTCAGGTCTTTGGAGGCTCCTCTAGGGCTATCTACAGAGTGCTGAGTGTGTAGGGGAAGGACTGGGCACATTCCTTGTCCCCACCAAGCACTTGCCATCCCCTCTGAAGCACCATCCTTTTCCCTCTCCCCTTAATTCCCACTCAGAACTCCTTACAGTGGTGCCCAGGCCCCTGGCCACTGGCTTATACTTTATTCTCACCATCAATCCCCCGCCGATGAAGCCGGCCATGAGCAAGACTTGCAAGCTGAGTTGGTTAGTGCTCCAGGTCTTCCCATCAGGCACCAATAGGAGAGCATTGGCCACAATACAGACTAGGGAAAGAGATACTAGAGAGAGCCCCACACAGCGGGAACACTTCCCCGTGCACATGGCGGGCAGTGAGTGAAAGTGAGCCGGAGGTTCCTGGGTCCAAAGGAAAACAGGCTGGAGCGTGAGCAAAGGTCAGAGGAGAGGTGTGGTAGAAACTGGCAGGATTAGGATGATAAGGGAGAGAGGCCCTGAGGAGGTGGAAGCTTTGGGGCTGCAGCTGGTGAGGTGACAGGGTGAAGGTAGTGATAGAGCAGTTGGGGGAAGTAGTCACACCTTTGGACGTTGCCTGGCATCAGTTTCTTCTATTTCTGAGCACACCTCTCCATAGTCTTTTCTTTGATCCCTTAACCTGTTTGAAGACTTGGCCAAGCCATCTCATGTCTTTAAGTCACAATTGCCTCATCTCTATAAAGGGTAGAGTGATATACCGCTTTTCTCCTGAGCAGGCTGTAAGGATTCCTTAGGACAAGGGAGGTATTTTGTAAACTAGGCAGCACAAGGAGGTGTACAGTGGCCTCATCATTTCCATCTGTCACACAGTCAGTGTTCCTCCTAGAAAGAAATGAAAAAGATGACAGGCTTCAGTTGTCTTTTTATTTCATATTTTTTACATTTGTTTTTTGATTCCGTCTCTTTTGCGACTACTACCTATTTCTCAGGTGAACTTGAGATTGAGGCCTGATTTGTTAGTGTTGCAGGAAACAGACTGATGGAGAAGCAGCAAGCAGCACTGGGAGTCAAGGAGAACTCCAAACTTTTTTTTTACGCCACTGCACCCAGAGGAAAACAAAATTTGAACCCTGGTCCACAGGTTTTTTGTTTTTGTTTTTGTTTTTGTTTTTGATCCACAGTTTTTTTTTTAAACAACATTATTATTCTGGTTATTTGGCATCATTTTAGAC